CACCTGCCCCCCATCTTCGACATTAAATTGTAGTAAATTGTAAACTGATGCAAACAGTCCCAACAACTCTAGAGAGCCCTGAGTTTACAACGCAGTACATATTTAGCATGTAATATTTAAGTCTGATATTTACCCTCATTTAATACGAATAGTCCGAGACGAAACGGAATCTCGTTAGCTTTTCGTGTTAAAAGCGATTTCTCGACGGTTATCACCTCTCTAGATGATTCTTAAAACATTTGGACTTCATGGCAAGGTTGAAATACATGCAATGAGGGCGTTTTCGGCCACACCCTTTTTCAGGGTTTCGCGGTCACTCGAATTATTGTATTTCAGCCCAGGAAGGTCTTAAAGACTATTCCGATACACCAAAATGTGCCTAATAGCCACATTTATATACAACTTATGAAGCAACATATACCTTAAAATGCTTTGTTTCGGAAATATGGCCGAAAAACGGTTTTTGGCTTGACGCAGTTCATAATTTCCGTGATTTTTGGCATTTCCGCCTAGGAAGGTCGTAGAGACTATTCTGATACACCAAAATGTGCCTAATAGCCACATTTATATACAACTTATGAAGCAACATATACCCTAAAAGGCTTATTTTCGGAAATGTGGCTGAAAAACGGATTTTTGTCGAGCAAACAATGACAATATTCACAAATGGGCTATTGGACTGTTAACTAGAAAGGTCTTAAAGACTCATGAGCAACACAGCATTTGTCACAAGATGTAAGATGCCTCACTTTGTGTCCAGAAACACCTACAAAAATTGGAGAATGATCTACTTTATTGGGCATCTCTTTTAATGGGCCAGGCCAGCAGCATATTTGTGTCTTACGAAATGGCAATTTTTCAAAATTACGGTTTCTTTAGTAAAGGTCAATGGGTCAGTTGCAAACAGCAAATTGTTCGCAATTGCCGACTTATGCACATCATATACTCAAAAACGCTCACTTTAGGAGTCATTAGTAAATAACTAATACATGATTTGTGAAAACTCCAACAATTTTTCCTTGGTACCAATTTAAATAAAATGTGTGACGTGCCAGACCAAAATTCAACTTCAAACTTTTTATTTATTCATGCCATGAAACCATGATATAATATGTTCCATGAATACCGGACCTAAAATAAATCGGCACTGGATCCGGGCCAGATTGACGCTTGACCACTGACCAGTATAAGTACCCCACTTTATAATCATAATTGACTTCACTGCCTCGACCAATATTGGTCTGTAATCCCTGGATTGAGATCTATTGGCTGCAGTTTAATTTAGCTCATTTACCATAATAGTAATACCGCAGTGGTTTGGTTCGCATAGATTTTCCCATCGTATGATAATGTGTGTCATTCCCTCGTTTTTTAATCAAGTGGCTAGCTCTTTTTTATTACAGCTGCCTCGAGATCTTATCTAGGGCACTAATACATTAGTACTAGACCATTAGAACTGTAATTCTAGAACTTCAGATTAAGATTACTTGGCCGAATGGCAGGGTTCGAGATTCGACTCTAAAACGCTCAGTTTAGGAGTGATTAGTAGATAACTACTGCATGATATGCGAAAACTCCAACTAGACAAGGATCATGCTTAATCAAAGTGTTCCTCGAATTGAACTTAAGTCTTGTAACCTACTGGAGTTTGGGCCACTGAATTGATCTAGGTAAACTATAGGTAAAAATATAATATTATTCATAAGCTAAAATGTACTAATCTTTGTATTCTAAATGGGGAAAAGAAGAAACATTGTCAGTCAGTCGAGAAAATTGTCAGTCAGGCTATATATATATATGAATACGAACTGATATTAATTTTAGAATGTCGGGAAATTCATTAAGATTTTTATTCTTTGGTTTTTTAATTGTGCTACGAATCCGAGTTTGAGTTGATAACCCCGAATTTCCTGTTTGACTCTCAAAGAAAGGAACCAAGGCTTACGTTCCTCTTTTTGGCTCTGAGATCCAACTTTAAGATCGGACTTCGGAGATCTCAGATCCTCGCGTCGGAGATCATGTAAGTGTAACATCAGTACATGACATCAGACTTTTTTGCTTGATATTGGACCTATAAATGTAATTATATATTCGAAACAGCACGAGATGTAACCAAGGTTAATTTAGATAAGATATACCAGCTTTAGGGGTTACAAGACCCCACGAAAGGCAGGCAGAGCATCCTAAATCCTCATGCTATCCTCACGTTGACCATCTAGGTCCAAACTCCAGCCTCTCATTAAAAAACAGCTATTAGGCCGGAGATCCGTCCCTTGTCCCGTAGTGTCCCGTAAGTAAGAGATCGTTCAGATTTTGGTCATTTAGACCCCCTCCCCGCTCTAAAATCCACTTTACCCAAAGCTGGAAAAATGTCACATGTGAAACCTAAATAGCTAAATCAGCATCTCGAGACCTTCTATTATAAAAACCCCGTGATCCTACTATAAGATTATAACTTATAAGGCATAAAGGCATTGCAAATTAAGATTCACTTCAACTGGTGATGTGAACCTGGTATGTTACCTGAATTCCCTCAGTCAAATCTCGAACCCTGCTAATGCTATTCTGCCAAGTAACCTTAATCTGAAGTTCTAGAATTACAGTTATAATCTTCTAATGTTCTAGTATTTGTGCCCATGCCTCAGATAAGATCTCGAGGCAGCTCACAGCTGTAATAACAGAAGAAATAGCCAGTCACCACTTGATTAAAAAACGAGGGAATGACAGTTGACACACATTATCAAACGATGGGAAAATCTATGCAACTGAAAAAAAGAATATGGGGTCATTCTGAAGTGGGAACCAGACCACTGCGGTATTATAAGAAATTAGCTAAATTAAACTGCGGCCAACAAATCTCAATCCAGGGATTACAGACCAACATTGGTCGAAGCAGCGAAATCAATCATAATTAAAAAGTGGGGTACTGGTCAGCGGTCAAGCAACAATCTGATCCGGATCCAGTGCCGATTTATTTTAGGTCTGGTATTCTTGGTACATATATTAAAGTCACTATTGTGACGGTACATTAGAACTAGACAGAAACAAAGTGTGAAGGGCCTAAACGGAACCCCTCGGTTTCAATTCCTTGTTTAACACTGCCGTACAGCAAGGACATTCGCCGGGTTCTCCAAGGATGGGCACATAACCCATTATTATTTCATGGCATGAATAAATAAAAAGTTTGAAGTTGAATTTTGGTCTGGCACGTCACACATTTTATTTAAATTGGTACCAAGGAAAAATTGTTGGAGTTTTCACAAATCATGTATTAGTTATTTACTAATGACTCCTAAAGTGAGCGTTTTTGAGTATATGATGTGCATAAGTCGGCAATTGCGAACAATTTGCTGTTTGCAACTGACCCATTGACCTTTACTAAAGAAACCGTAATTTTGAAAAATTGCCATTTCGTAAGACACAAATATGCTGCTGGCCTGGCCCATTAAAAGAGATGCCCAATAAAGTAGATCATTCTCCAATTTTTGTAGGTGTTTCTGGACACAAAGTGAGTCATCTTACATCTTGTGACAAATGCTGTGTTGCTCATGAGTCTTTAAGACCTTTCTAGTTAACAGTCCAATAGCCCATTTGTGAATATTGTCATTGTTTGCTCGACAAAAATCCGTTTTTCAGCCACATTTCCGAAAATAAGCCTTTTAGGGTATATGTTGCTTCATAAGTTGTATATAAATGTGGCTATTAGGCACATTTTGGTGTATCAGAATAGTCTCTACGACCTTCCTAGGCGGAAATGCCAAAAATCACGGAAATTATGAACTGCGTCAAGCCAAAAACCGTTTTTCGGCCATATTTCCGAAACAAAGCATTTTAAGGTATATGTTGCTTCATAAGTTGTATATAAATGTGGCTATTAGGCACATTTTGGTGTATCGGAATAGTCTTTAAGACCTTCCTGGGCTGAAATACAATAATTCGAGTGACCGCGAAACCCTGAAAAAGGGTGTGGCCGAAAACGCCCTCATTGCATGTATTTCAACCTTGCCATGAAGTCCAAATGTTTTAAGAATCATCTAGAGAGGTGATAACCGTTGAGAAATCGCTTTTAACACGAAAAGCTAACGAGATAGCCTTTTAGAACGGTTGGGATCCGACTAGAATGTGGCACACGGAGAGCAATACACTTTATTGTTTTATAAATTGCCAGCCGCTGCTGCTGCCTTCTGCCCAACGGACCATTTATTACTACTCCTGCATATTAACCTTGCTAATGTGTTATTTTTGTGCTGGCGCCGGAGCCATGAAATACATATGCCTCTCTAATATGATTACTACAAGTTATAACACCAATTATACTGTAAGCCTTACAAGAGTGTCTGTTTTACAATAGTAGATGTGCTATTGAAGATGCCCTATTGAGTGTGTGTGTGTGTGTGTGTGTGTTTTGTAGCTCTCATGTGTCGAGCCCCTTCCAGTTCGTCTGTGATAGATCATTGTCCTGTCAGCAGCCTTGTCTCAGTACTAATACATACTTAATCTGGTGTGTGTGCGTGATCTGCACGACTGAGCTGATATTATGTTGTATATTACGCCCTCATATTAAACGTAATATTTACACTGTTTTGTCGTGTTGTATTTCCTGATTGCTCGACTTGAGTTGTGTTGAAATTCGTGCTAATAAACTGTAAATTTCAAAGTTCTCTTCGAGGGAAGTCCCCGAAATAGAACAGTTGTGGAATGAAGCTGCATACCACACACGCTAACATTAAAAGCCGCCTGATGCATGCGGCACTCCTGCTCAGCTGCCGCTCTCCACTGAGCACGTGACCCCTAATTGTTCAGTGACACCCTGTTACTCGCACCCTCCCTAATCTAACAGTAGGTTTCTGACCACCCTATTGACTTGCTACATCAGTACATGAAACTTCCCCCGAACTTTTGTGGAGTGAACTGTGAAGGGGGGCACTTATCGGTATTCAGTTACTGGCCTAATTCCTTTTATCAGTAACAGTATGCTATCATAAATTATAACACGCAATAGACTTAACACGATGTTTCGTTAGCAATGTCACATGAGGGAAAGTCAGGTAAGCGGAAGTTAACACAGAATAAGACAAAGAAGAACGCATCACCAGCCCTACCAGGCCCGATGCCAGAACCGGCCGAAAACGAAGCCTCCACCATGGCTGGGACTAATGTCAACCTCGAGGCTTACATTTGGCAAGAAAATGTTGAAGGTGAGTGTTCACTGTTTTGTTAACCAATTTTTGCATAACGATTGTTTTCTAAAAGCCAGGAGGCTCAGTTGCTCACTAACGATTTGACAAGGAGGAGTGTTTGTTCTATTGTGATTTAGGGGGACAATGGTGTAGGGACTCGCAACTCATCAGTCCCCTTGTCCTGATATATCTTATTTGTACACCGGGAAAGCCGCCATGCTATGATCTTATGATAATTACGTTATTCACTTTGGAAATAGCAATGAAACCTCCTGTTCTGCTTAATTTGACTCTTGCTGTAACCCTCCTTTATCTGAGAATAATTCCAAAGTTATGATTTCCTTTAACAAAGTCCGACTGTAAATATGGTATTGGAAAGCCTTCATCAGAGTGGCACACTAGCACTGTTCACTGTGTCTAGTGGCACACTGGCACTGTTCACTGTATCTAGTGGCACACTGGCACTGTTCACTGTATCTACTGGCACACTGGCACTGTTCACTGTATATACTGGCACACTGGCACTGTTCACTGTATATACCAGCACACTGGCACTGTTCACTGTATCTACTGGCACTTTTCACTGTGTCTAGTGGCACACTGGCACTGTTCACTGTATCTAGTGGCACACTGGCACTGTTCACTGTGTCTACTGGCACTGTTCACTGTGTCTACTGGCACTGTTCACTGTATCTACTGGCACACTGGCACTGTTCACTGTGTCTAGTGGCACACTGGCACTGTTCACTGTATCTAGTGGCACTGTTCACTGTATCTAGTGGCACACTGGCACTGTTCACTGTGTCTACTGGCACTGTTCACTGTGTCTAGTGGCACACTGGCACTGTTCACTGTATCTAGTGGCACACTGGCACTGTTCACTGTATCTAGTGGCACTGTTCACTGTATCTAGTGGCACACTGGCACTGTTCACTGTGTCTACTGGCGCACTGTTCACTGTGTCTACTGGCACTGTTCACTGTGTCTAGAGGCACTGTGCTCTAGTTCACTTTGCTTGGTGATTGGTTTAAAACGTTTAGTGGTCAGTTGCTGAGTTGCTATCTTTATAATGTGTGGTTATCCGGCCTCAAACCATAAAGATAACCACCAAAACGTTTAACATTTAAGTGGTTCATTTATCCACGTAACTGCGTAACTGTAATAATCATATATCCATGAACTTAAAACTTAAACACGAAAGCTTTTTATGGAAACCTTAAAGACTTGATGCTTGGATGCTTGAGGTCACAGAATTTATTTTGATGGGCTTCTCTAATCTATGAACTACGCGTCTTTAAATAAATTTAAGAACACCAAACTTAATGATTTGAGGAAGTAAGCACACTGCACATATTTTTATAAGAATTCATTAATAGTAAGGGGAAAAGTGGTCGATTTAAGGGTTCCGTTGGATTTGAATGTTCACAAGGATTTCTCAACGGAATATGGTAGTTAGGACCCCTACGAACATAATTAGACTTGTTGCCAATTTTGTATCTCAACAGAAACACCACTTTTACCACTTTTTACCACCTCTGTACCACCTTTCTGGTTTGCCAAATATCTTTAGTTGTGAACATCGTAGAAGGCTGCAAATTAACCTAGAATGTTTATCTTATCAAGGAGTAAAACTTTTGTATCAAAAATTTTTACATTGGACAATCAGCTAATTGGATAATTACCAATTAGTTAATCACCAAAAAAAGTGAAAATTTTTTATTGGCTCAAAATGATTGAAATCGTTTGAAACACGGAGAAATGTAGTTTTTAGAAAAACTTCAAAAATTTTTCACTTACAAATTTTTTTCGAGACTTGGAAAAAAAGTTTGAAAATTTGAAAATATTTTTTTCCGCCAAAGGTGATCGAATTGCATGAAACGTGAATAAAAATGCTTTGCAGTAAAACTTCGAAGATTTTTAGATTGGGGAATTCTAAAATCATCAATATTTGAAGTTGGAGTTCAGTAAATCTCGACATATTTTAGTAATTAGGAATAGCTTAGCGGAAAGGGCTGAACCTGAAAAAGGTTAACCACACAATATTAGAGTTTCATAACTAATTACAATACAGCTTTATCAAATTCCACATAAAGAAACAGCACAAAAGGACCATTTAAGATCGAACCGATTTTACCTGCTGTTCTATCATTTTTTTTGATTTCAATGATCAAAACCTCTGTACTGTCAATCTTGCCAATCTATACCGGGTATCTGAATGTACCGGACCTTTTTATTTACCTCTATAATTAGACCCAGTTGTGCAAGAAATCCGATTTCTCACAGGGGTTTCTTTTAACTGTGCACTTTTTGTCACTCTCGCAAGAGGCCCGGTATTATAGGGGGGTATAGGAAGCGTAAATATACCTTCCATCATCCACTGTGGCTTTTTTGTATTGTGAATGCGCATGCCGCTTCGTTTGCTATGCCAGATACCTCAAATAACCCCCATATCTCATTACCAGGGTCGGGATAGAGCTGGAGATAGCATCGAGAGGTTGCTAGAAATAGCTAGATTTAGAGTAAACTGGTGGTAGCTGGGTGGTGCTAGCATGGATGTAGCAGAACGTAGCTACACGGGGTTTCATTGGAGTTGGTTATTTTAATGGCCAAAGAGTGCCGGAACTAAAGTTACTTAAGATTGCAGTTGAGGGGCAGTGTAAACCACGGTGTAGTCACGGACACAGAGCTACAGTGCAGGAGTACTGCAAAAGAACAGTGCAAGTGATACAGTCTGCAACAGTAAAACGCCGAAGAAGGAGATAAGATTGTGGCTGCAGAGGAGGAGAGGAGCTGGAACCTGATTGTGTTTGGGTTGAAAGAAGAGGAGGAAGAAGAGTTTCCTGCTCTGGTAACTGCATTTTTGGAAGAGGTGGGGTGAGAACTTATTTTCAAGCGACAAGGGTGGGCTGGAAGCAACCAGGTACAGCTATCCGACCTATTAAGATCACCTTCCTGAGCTTAACAGCTTTTTATCAGAATCTGATGAAAACAGAGAGACTGACCCACCCCTTTTAGATCCAACGAAACCGTTTATATAAATCGACTTTTCCGCATGAATTACTTCATGGTATCTTCTTATCAAGGCTACAGACCTTGCCGTACCTAAGCGAGTCTCTTTAGCCCTTTTCTTCTTTAGAGCTTTAGGTTAATGATCAAACTCTTCGCTACTCGCTCTTCACTGGATCTATCAGGAAAGATTACATCTTTTTAGGTCTCAACCAGCCTTAGTTTTCCTGTTTTCATCATGTAGTACTAGTACGTTCTGCCACCTCCATTTTAGCACCACCCAGCTTTCATCAGTTCACTCTAAGTCTAGCTTTGTCGGCGTTTTACTGTTGCAGACTGTATCACTTGCACTGTTCTTTTGCAGTACTCCTGCACTGTAGCTCTGTGTCCGTGACTACACCGTGGTTTACACTGCCCCTCAACTGCAATCTTAAGTAACTTTAGTTCCGGCACTCTTTGGCCATTAAAATAACCAACTCCAATGAAACCCCGTGTAGCTACGTTCTGCTACATCCATGCTAGCACCACCCAGCTACCACCAGTTTACTCTAAATCTAGCTATTTCTAGCAACCTCTCGATGCTATCTCCAGCTCTATCCCGACCCTGGTAATGAGATATGGGGGTTATTTGAGGTATCTGGCATAGCAAACGAAGCGGCATGCGCATTCACAATACAAAAAAGCCACAGTGGATGATGGAAGGTATATTTACGCTTCCTATACCCCCCTATAATACCGGGCCTCTTGCGAGAGTGACAAAAAGTGCACAGTTAAAAGAAACCCCTGTGAGAAATCGGATTTCTTGCACAACTGGGTCTAATTATAGAGGTAAATAAAAAGGTCCGGTACATTCAGATACCCGGTATAGATTGGCAAGATTGACAGTACAGAGGTTTTGATCATTGAAATCAAAAAAAATGATAGAACAGCAGGTAAAATCGGTTCGATCTTAAATGGTCCTTTTGTGCTGTTTCTTTATGTGGAATTTGATAAAGCTGTATTGTAATTAGTTATGAAACTCTAATATTGTGTGGTTAACCTTTTTCAGGTTCAGCCCTTTCCGCTAAGCTATTCCTAATTACTAAAATATGTCGAGATTTACTGAACTCCAACTTCAAATATTGATGATTTTAGAATTCCCCAATCTAAAAATCTTCGAAGTTTTACTGCAAAGCATTTTTATTCACGTTTCATGCAATTCGATCACCTTTGGCGGAAAAAAATATTTTCAAATTTTCAAACTTTTTTTCCAAGTCTCGAAAAAAATTTGTAAGTGAAAAATTTTTGAAGTTTTTCTAAAAACTACATTTCTCCGTGTTTCAAACGATTTCAATCATTTTGAGCCAATAAAAAATTTTCACTTTTTTTGGTGATTAACTAATTGGTAATTATCCAATTAGCTGATTGTCCAATGTAAAAATTTTTGATACAAAAGTTTTACTCCTTGATAAGATAAACATTCTAGGTTAATTTGCAGCCTTCTACGATGTTCACAACTAAAGATATTTGGCAAACCAGAAAGGTGGTACAGAGGTGGTAAAAAGTGGTAAAAGTGGTGTTTCTGTTGAGATACAAAATTGGCAACAAGTCTAATTATGTTCGTAGGGGTCCTAACTACCATATTCCGTTGAAAAATCCTTGTGAACATTCAAATCCAACGGAATGCCACTTTTCCCCTTACTATAAGTCAGTTAAACCTCGTAAAGATAATTTCCCACAGAATTAAATTTGCTCTCTATTCTCTAAATATCTCCACTAGCACTTAGTTGAATTAATAAAGGATTTAATTAGAATTGTGTAGTAATGTTCCCAATATTATTTTCCGATTAAAGAAGGAAGATACAGAGTTGTGTGGCCAGATAATGAATGACTCCCAGTCAAACAAAGAGTACTTTAAATACTTTAAATGAAGATTCCATGGGAAATCTGGCTGAAAACAAATTAGGCGGTGAACGCTTTGCTTTGATAATGATCAAATGGCTTTTAGAGTCACTCGTAATAACATTATGATCGGTGCTTGGGGGCCTGCTTTTAATGTCCCCTCACACACCTTTACTTGTTACTACATATTCAGATATTATGATCCTCATAAAGTCACCAACTTGAAATAAAGTTATGTGTTCTTGTGTGCCCATAATAGGAGATATATTTACACGTTATCCGATGCAACTCAATAGTATCAACCCTTGAATTTGAAACTAAAACCTCAATCAAATTTGTCTGAATGTATTACTAAATCTTCTATATGGTTGAACAATTAATCGTCGTCTGAACATGTCCTTGATTTCAGCGGGTTTGGTTGTGATGAACGTGAAATGGCGCGGTAAGACGTACTGTGGAGCGTTTATCGACATAGAGAAACACAACTGGCAACCTCCCAGGTAAGCTTAACTTCTTTATCTTTTCACTTTTCTAGCGGTTATGTTATCCAGGCTTGTTTCTAACGCGTCAAAACATATCTCGTGTACATTCTTTGGTCAGTGCTAGCTGAGCTGATACGATGCCACGTGTCACAACAAAGTGCGGCCTCCCCACTGCTAGCCACATATTCCAACAAGACGACCCCACGGCCACTTACCGTTTAGTTTTAACGTTTAAAATGATTGCTTATCAAAAGTATGAAGTAGCATGATTGGAGTTCTATACTAAGTACGAAACCTCTCTCTCCCTGGATCATCAGATCGTTTCAGCCAGTTTAAAATGTGATTACAATTGTCTTTATCTTATTCCCTCATTTGCACAGTGTACACGAATATTGTTTGCGGCTTGATCTAATGGCTGCGGCATACGACTGTGCATATATATCAATATTTGTACATATTATTTACCGTTAGAGAGACGCGAGTATGTGGTTAATAGGTCCGGCACTTTCAAATCATATATAGCGAGAGAGAAAGAGAGAGATATAGCGTCAAGTGTCTCTTTCTGATACCGCTGTATTGCAGGCTTCCGTCCCTCTCCCTCTCTCCATCCCGCAGTAAACCTACACCACTATTTACGGACACACCGATTAGGCAATAATCCCTGTTAACTCATTGCTCAGTTCGCTCAGTTCGCTGTGACTTCATTCACAGTTACTCTGGAGTACCGAGACTGAAACTAATTCCTCTCAACTTGTTAGAGGGTTAATGATGCGCTCCACAGAAGATTGAATTGTAGGAATTCCCGGACGTTTTAACAGTCGGTAGCTCCTCCTAATCAAGATGCCACCTTGAAGCCACACTAAAATAGAGGTACTGTCAGCAGCATAGGCTGAGCAGGGGGAGGCTGGGTATTTAAATGTGTTCTCTCAGGCTGAGATCATTACATATTACATCTAAACCGATAACGGCCCTCTCCTAGGAGAGATATTAAATACTCCGCTTTCTCACATGGATCATATTAAATATGGGAGCTGGCACCACCGAGGGGTGCTAATCAGAGCACATATAATCTCCTGGTAAATGTACCGGCTTCTTCTAATGAGCTCACCCCACTTTCAAACGAATTAATAAAGTGTCACGGCTCTGAATAGGACGTGTCACAATCTAATTTTAGATCCGATCTTGTTCCACTTCCCCTTTTTAAATATCCAAATTATTACCCCGCTCTTGGACATAAGCTCTGATTTCAATTAAAATGTATCGAGATTGTCAGGTGGACATGTCAAAATCTAATTTTAGATCCGTTTGGTTCCACTTCCCCCTTGTAAATATGTAATTCATTATAATATTACGAAATTTGAATCTTCTCAGATTTCAATTAAAATATATGGAGACAAACTGTCACAATCTAATGTTTCCCCGACCTAATTTAAAATCCGCCGCTGTTCCACCTCCCCCTCCTAAATAACCTCCAGTGGAGATTCTCCACATTATCACCCAGTCCTTGGCCTTGGTCCTCTGCCCTGACTCCAATTAAAATGTATCGACAATACACGCTACTAGGCCTAGGTGTGATATGGTCTTATTATAAGGTGACCAAAATTCCTCGCATAACACTGATAAGAGTCATCACCGAGTGGTACGCTAGAGAGGAGTCCGTGTTAAAATATGTATGATGTGGAGCTGTTGGTTGTGGAGGAGAGCAACTCCCAGTAACATCAGACATTTAGACCAGTATTAGTTACTGTTTCCCACAACATTTAAAACACCTGTCATAACCCTCTCGGCCTCTCTCCTCACTACTTTTGATGTAATAACATCCTGCATAGTATGTATCGATACACTGCTGAGTTCTCTTACCTGAGAGAGAGGGAGAGAGAGAGACAGAGAGAGAGAGAGAGAGGTAGTGATGAGTTTTTAATATTATATATATATAGAGAGCCATCTGTACTAGTCTTATTAATAAGTTTTATCTTGTTATTATAATAATATGTGGGACAAAATCACATCCTGGCTTGTTACAACTTCCGGTTTGTAAAGCAGCATATCATGTATAATATAATCACAGGTTAGCTTCCGCCCACCAAGTATTAGTGTTTAGTATTTGACGTGTACCGCCGCCCACCCACCGTTTATTAAATTAGAACATGCGGTAATGATGCATAGCACACGGTCAGTTGTCAGGTGTCAGATAGCACCTATCACTCTTCTAGGGTGTCACAGGTTATCAGGTACAGGGTACAGACCAGTTAAACCAGTGAATATGGCAGTTCTTCGGTAGCGCCCACTCACTTATTAGGTAGCGCCCACTTTTGGGTAGCGTCCACCCACTACTGTCCAGTGTTAATCGCTTGTCGGGTAGCGCCCACCCACCATTCGTGCAGTAAACTGTGACACAAATTAGGATATCCTGGACAACTGAAGCCCATCTTGAACACATTCTCATTTAAACACCCCGCATATACTGCTCTGTCCAATGGCTTACTAATTCAGACAGGATATCTAAAAATGTACATTTACCGAGAAAATTAGCGAGAAAAGGAAAAACTACTTGTACAATTAGTGAAAAAATTATTTGGCAATTGTCTTTCCGTGGTAGCTGTGAGGAGGATGGCACATAGCCGGGGTGGGTGGGAGAGTAGTTGTTATAATACTATTCCGTGGAACGACTACGTGGTATTTGTACAGTTAATGAGGTGACAGAAGTGGGCCGGAAGGGTGGTCAGATCTGCTCCTAGTGCCTATCTATTGACGTGGTGGCTGTAGAGCAGTGCACTGTGTCCATATCTAAAGGTGTTGAGTGTTTGTAGTAGTGAGACCTGGTCTGCGTTGGCATAACGACAGGGTAGGGGTAACAGTGCACTTATCTGGCATGTATTATTATTATTATATGTTCATCAGCCCGGGAAGTCTATCAGGGGGGAGAAATAAGAGCTGTGTTGTGTGGCGCCCACTTTTTAAGAGAGCATATTATATGATAGGGTATATTTGATGGGGGAGCCTTTGTTTAATATTATTTAATGTGTTTACGCTGTTTATATCGGGGTTAAATTCTCCTTAAATGTGATAAAATTCCATGTGATAATAGAACGTGTAACATGTAAGTAATTGTAAGGTATTGTGATATTTGAGTAAGATTTACAAGATGGCACGGGAGCCGCTACAATGTTAGGCCGCTACAATGTTAGGCACCAACAATATACTCCCCCTACTGTAAGCCAGATCAAATTTCCGGTCCTGACCCTCAGACAAGTTCACAGATATAACCTGTTAATTCAGCTCATCTCATGTACTCTAGCTGACTGGCCTGATTTAATGACCTTTAATCGGTTGGGAGGCTGCACTATCTAATCAAGGCTGGATAGTGCGTAGTGCAATGACATCACATAGCAAAACAGGCGATTTGTTGTCATACTCACACACGTGTGTCCGGTATAAACTTGGGAAACTACTCCCTTAATAGGAAATATGTTTATCAGCCGGGCTGTGACCTGTGGCTTCTTATTTCATTTACAGTGACCCCGCAGCTCAGTGACGCAAACCTCCTAAATCTAATAAGGAACCCACTATGCATGGAATTCCAGATATTTTACGGTATGGGTGGAAACTGGAAAGTTGGCGGGTCATCATAATGTTGGCATTGTTTCTCTCACAGAGCAGTGCTTATATGTACAAAGCTAATAACTCGTAATTAAGCAAGAAGGGGGGTGTCTAGTTTATTTGAAATGCAGGCTCCCTCTATGCCGCTCCCATATATCTTGTATATAAAATACTTGTAGGAATTCCCTCCTAAGTAGCAGCCTTATTAAACACGTTCAGTGATCGTTCTAGGCTCTCTCCCTCAGAATTAGCCGGCTGTAAAATTAACGCTCGGTATACAATCAACACCACCACGTAATGACATTTCATGATAACGTGTCCTCAGGCTGGGAGAAGCGGCGCCCGCCGAGGCGGACCACTTCACTCGCGGTCGCAACAAACGCAGTCTCAACAGCGAGAGCGAGAAGGGCGACGAGGAGACGTCCAGTAAGCGTGGTAGGAACAAAGGCAAGAAGAAACGTGGTCCTACCGCTCAGATAAAAAAGGTACGTTTAACAGCCTCCAGGGCCCCATCGTACACTCCCCCCTCTCTGTCTGTTTTGTTTACCTCATCGTACACTCCCCCCTCTCTCATCGTACACTCCCCCCTCATCGTACACTCCCCCTCTCTCTCTCTGTTTTCTTTACTGTGTGTTTTGTTTGTTCCAAGGGAGCTGGTAATTGGGCCGGGTTAAACACAATTACTACGTGGTGTCTCAACCTCCCAATACTATTATTCCTCTCGATATGCTACGTCTTTAGTCATTTTAGTGTCGGTAATGATAAGATTAGGCTCTCTGTTTGAGACAAATGAGTTGCGCTTTCTGCATAATGTGGTGGTAGCTATGCATACATAATACAAATTTTACATGTCTATTGTGCACTGCTAATTGGAGTACAATCAAGCAATTATGCGAGCTGTAATTTTAATCCTGCTTGTTGGATGAAGGCAGTGCAGAGCGAGACGTGGGATAGACTTTACCTTATTATTACGGGAGAAGAAGAGCAGGCGGTCTATGCCTTTCATCCTGTCCAATACCAAGACAAAAGATTTGTCAAAATACTGGCAAATATGAGAGTGGTAGTGAGGAGACGACCGACGATAAGGAGGCGTGCTGCTGGCGTATCACGTGTCGGAGTAATGACCAAGTATAAACAATACAATTAGAGCGTGTTCCAAGGAACGGACCGCGCATCACTTCCCCGCCACTAGCATCACTTCTGATTTGCTGGCGGGGGTACTGCTAAGTGGAGGGAGCTAGTTAACGGTATCAAAGCTAATGATGTTATAAACAGCTCACTCTCTCATGGAATCAGTAGTGCAGTAGTTATATGATATTGTGTTCGAGTAATTGATTATGTATTTGTAATAACAATGGTTGAGTTTCAATAACAATGGTTGAGCTTATAATAACAAGTGATAATGACAATATTCAATAGACAATTGGTCCCGTATTAAGCTTACAAACCATGAACATTCCTGACCTTGATAATTATGTCATGCATTATGTATTGTGCACCCTACAGTTCTCAACTCTCGTAGTAGTGATAGACGTGGCTTTTGAGCGTGTGACGTAGCATGTAAACACCAAATAAGATCATACTGCAGCCGCCAATCACGAATCACGCTGCAACACTTCCCTGTTCTTGATATTTCCCCAATTTGGCTGTTGAGTAATGTGCAATGTTGAGTAAGCAAGCGTAAGACACGGGCTCAGCAGCTCACTTTCGACTGGCGTAAATTGAGACTTGTCTAAATTTACTATATATATATCGTGACTCAACAGCCACTATTAACTTAGCGACAGATATATATATATATAGGGCACACAGGTGGCAGAAGTTTAAAATTGCATATATATATGTTTTAAAATGTTGATACATTATGTATGCTGAAATATGAACGTAAAATGTTTCCACTGACCACTCGGCCAAATTGAATTTTAAACTGTAGTACTCGTAACAGTGCTTTGCCGCTCTGGTTATTTGTTTAACACATACTTGACAAATAGAACCGATTCTTACGAAACAACAACTTCACCTATGTTAACACTTTATCTTCAGGTGAAGAAGGGCGGAAGTGAGCCGTCTGCCAGCGATCAAGTGCCTGCTCCAGTCCCATCTCCCAGTCCCAGTGCAACCTCCAACGATGATAAGACCCCCACCGAAGAAAAAACCGAGACTCAGCCGGTACGTGTCTTGATTGAATTAGCGTCTCCGTATTATCGGATTAGGCCTGCCCTGAAATATATCGGTTTGGCCGCAGTAAATGTGGTATTATCGTACAAAGTTAGCCCATGGTATCTTTCTTTCTTCAGCTACTGTCCATACTAGCCCATATGTCATTCGTGATTTAATTTTGTAGGAATGCTGCCTAAAATTATGTCGAAAATTTATTTGGAACCAATGAGTTGCGTAAAAATATGTGGAGTCTCCAATCCGCTTGTCAGGCTTCATTTCCTTAGCAAATACTTAGTCTACTGGCATCTATCCAGTCCAATACTATTTGTCACTTCACCGGTCAGCGCACTAATCAACACTTCACCCTGTCTTTCTATTTCTAATATCGTAACGATTTTTTGCGTCACGAAACCTAAAAACTCTTACGTCTAAAACACGCATTTTTACTTTCGGACTTTTGCATATCTGGTGATTAAAGAGCTTCTTATCAGCATTTTTGAGAGTGCGCGCTCCGAGCCGCGCAATTTTATACAAAGAAACCGGCTCGATCGAGCACAAAGCACGTTTTTCTTGGATGGTCCCCCCCCAGAAACTGAGTAGAATAGGTGCCCAAATTACATTTGGAATGACTTCATTCTCGATTGTAGCGGTAGGATGCAACACAATAGTCTACTTATGCCAGCACAAAGCCCGCTTTGTCCATCTTTTAACAGTCGTTCTTGACTTTAGTAAGACTGGACAATATTACCATCACACGTGCCATGTGTCGTCACACATTTTATCTCCATTCCGAGTATAATTAGTTTGCACTCTCCGTGACAAAGTGAACCAGCTTCTCTTACTCCCAATAAAGTAGTCAACCTGTGCTACTTTTACTGTAATAGAAGGCCTGACCGAGACAGCTTTCTTTAGATTAATTAATACTTGGACAAATATTATCAGTACCACTACGTGCATATGTTTAACGTGCACCGGCCTTACTCCTGGCTCCATTAGTATCCACTGCATTATTCGCTACATGCAAACACAGAGATTGTAATAGAATTTTCGCAAGAAGAAAAGCTATAAAATCAAATTGCGGTCAAGTAGAAGGGAGCAAGCACTTGTGAAGAGTTATGTGAATATTCAAAGGGTTATAACTGAAGGCAACCTGAGCCGTTCGTGTAGACACAACAAACTTGTTAAAACTTCAGTAATTGAATCAATTGAGATTTGAGTGAGATTAACTGTTAAACAACTATCGAACTTGTTAAAAGTTATCAGCCCATCTAATTCTGGCTATTTGTTGATGTGAAAGGCGGTTGAATTTATTGAGAATATAACGCACAGTAGAATGTGATGCGCCTACTTTTAAACAGCATCCTCTAATAATATATGGCTCTCACTAACTCCGACAATGTCTAAACCTCTACATGGACGTGTTAGTCTATTGGTCGGACGAAGGAAACTGTATCTCCGATATCTTGTCATTAAGTATTCCGTTACATTCTCTACCCCATTCATCACCACTCATAGACTCGCACTTAGGCGGGCACTATCGGCATTTTTCATATGTCTTGTAGGGCTTTAACGTTGGGGTTATCAAGCCGTAATCGTAGTGGCTGGACAGAGCATATATACCGTGTTCTCGCTCTGTTTATCAATGTCTGCTACTAACTGGAGGTGGTGACAGCTCAGGAACTCCTGATTGCATATTATCAGACACTTCTAATGGTTTCTCTAGGGCGATGACAGATTTTTGTTCACGCTTTATAACTTAATTGTCTTAATTTTTGCTATTTTAGCTGTTTAACGGTAGGGCGCGAGGTAGCAGCATGCCATTACGGTGCGGATGGGGAAGACCTGTATATGAACTGCTGAGTAGCGAGCTATCATTAAAATGTCACAAGTTTCCTGGACCAATAAACAGCTGTACAAGTCTCTCAAGTCAGCGTGTCTGATTGCATGGCTCTCAATCTGTCACCCAGAGCTCGCTGATAGGTTTCCTGATGATGTCAGGCGAGTCCTGTGCCCGTATAACCTGGCATTCCTCTCCATTCAGGATCACTGTTTAACTGGAATTACAGAACTTTTAGGTTTCTGAGTATTTGTTGCGTTACAAGGTTTTCTTTCTCGCCAGAAAAAGATAGCTCATAGTCTTTATTTAGATCCGCATTATATAATATAATGTGCGAGAGAGAGAGAGATCTGCAGTAGAATCGTGATCGTCAGCACGCACTCAACTGTCTAGACTGTCTGTATTTAGTGGGATAACTATCTAGAAATATGTGGTCCAGGCCAGGACTTCTTTAAAAAGGACTGGCTGACATGTCCTTCCTGTACAGCTTCATGTGTCCGCTGGTGTACAGCATTTATCCCCAGATTTCTCCCGATAACAACTGGATATGCAATATGTATTTGTAATAGCGCGGCGAGGGCAACTGCAAGCAATAACAGTCACTATTAAGTATTAATTGTTCCTCCCATTTTCTACCGCCAAATTAGATCTTTATTACCGTAATATGTCTGGCCATTTAACCAGCTTAACTTACCACCAAACCAAGTATTTAACTGACCTCCCTGGGTTATAAGTACATACTGTTATATGTATTGGAAATAAAGAATACCTACAAATTACAACATTTTCTTGCCGCTCTGATTGCACTAAATAGACCAGGAAATTTGGTTCTAACATATGATTAACTAGCTGCGCTAACTCATATATTATTAAGTACTAACGAATGGTCACTGTTTCAGGAGAAAGCAGAGGAACCGGTGAAGGTAGAAAAGAAGGAAGAGGAGGACACAGCACAAGTGCCAATACCAGCTGCGCCGAACAGTTCTGTGCCGACACCAACCACACCTGCCAGTACCCCGACTACCCTACCTGCCGCCACCGCCCTCACCCCGACTTCCTTTAGAGAGGAGTCAGATAACAAGGTACCAGAGAAAGAGGAGAACACTACCCAGTCTGTTATCAACAGCTACAGCCCTCATTCAAAGAAAGTTAAGAATGCCAACAAGCTGACGCCCATTCCCAAGGAAATGTACGGGCCGGAATCAGTAATCAGAACCTACACATCTCCCCTAAACATGCCGCCTATTAAACCTTTCATTAACGCCAGTCCCCGAAGTCTAGGAGGTTATGTTGTGTCCAGCCAGGAAATGATGGGTCCCGGTGACATCAGCGCTTCAAAGCCTCAGGTCATTGTCAAGCCAGAGCGCCGTGACTTGCAGTGGAGCAAGCACGCCAACCTCCCAGTTCTCAAGCCACAACCTCACTTCACTTCTCATGAGAATAACCAGACTCAGAACACAATGATACCCCAACATGCCCTGGCAAGTATGAATCAGCAGCTGTTCAAGGAGCAACAGCAACAACTCCAGCAGCAACACCATCAGCAACAACAGCAGCAGCAACAGCAGCAACAACAGCAGCATCATCTTCAGCAGCAATTAAAGAAAAATGAACTTTTTTCATTCAAACCAAACGAACAATTCGGACACGCGTTTAAGAACGCCTCCTTGTTTTCCAAACCAAATATGCCAAATATTTCTAGTGCTAATGCCAACGAATACACGAATGCCTTTGCTGCAAACCTGCAGAGACATTTCTATTCTCAGAATCAGGGCGAGAAGCCTGAAATGCTCGGCCCAGACCATCGGCCCAGCCAAGAAGCGGCACACAGCCTCCTCCAACTTGCTCGACCTTCCTTCAAGGGTGGGAACCCAGCCCTCGACCAGTTACAGTACTACAGCAGAATGAACAATATGCCAGTGATAAGCTCGACTACCGGGGGTCAACCACCCACCTTCCCACCTCCAAGGTTTTCCACTGACAGTAAGGAGGAACTAGCAAAGCTCATGTCCTTTCCTCCAGTAGGCACAAAGTTTCCCATACCTCAAGTCGGCAAGTTTAGATAAAGAGAAATGATTTTTAATTTGTAATAACGGTTTATACGTAAGGGTTTATTTTCATATGACAGGTGAAGAGAGAGAATGTGTTGTTAAGCCCAGGATGTTATTGTCAAAGCAGAGAGCCTGGTTTGAAGTGCTTGTGCTATTTCAAATGAAGGGTCGTATATATGTCCCCTGGTTGGGTTGTTTTGATGTCCTATTTTTGTTATCTGAACGTTAATAAGGGGTATGTTTTTGTGTGAGAATCATGAAACAGACTTTTGTTTAAACAAAGTTTTTTTGTTTGAGCCTATTATTTGTAAGTGCGATATGAATTATGATGAACAATCATAGGAAACTTTTCAATTTAAATATCTTTGTTAGCACTATTTAAGTGCGGTAATTTAACAATTAAATGGTTAATATGCTAATTCCTTTTTGTTAGGAAACTATTCGATTGATCGAGCAATATGTCTGCCAAATTTCTTCTTTGCAATTCACAATATCTTCAATGAGAGAAAAACTTGTTGATTTGCTTATTTCACTCGTGTGGATATAAAGAGTGCACTTAATCTTTTGTTTAAAGTTTTACGCTAAAATGTCTCAAAATGCCGCTTTCACCTTTTGTTTTGTGGTAATAACAGAGTTTCACTTGTTAAATCTAATTTCTTGAGGGCTTTTCGTAACACCCGTATCGAGACATGTCATGAATGTGTCTCACAGTGGCCGGGACTTATCAGAAATATCGTTAAAGCAATTAATTTAGGGATGGTATCCAAGTAAAACGTTGTTATAGCCTGACCAGTGACCTGTCACTTGATGGAGTCAGACGATTACATATTTTCCCTAGACATAGTTAAAACACCATTCTGAAATTTCTCACACTTCGAGACTTTGTCGTTTTATGGTGGGAAATGTAGGCAGAAGTGGGTTCAGAAATTGTAACTGAGGATCTTTCAAATTACGTCAGAAACCGACCCTTCTAGACCCCTCCTGCCTCATGGCAGTAACCCAACCGACTGTAATGTGTGGACTATCCCTAAAGACCCGGCCCTTCTTTATAGAGGGATGGCCGGATGGGTCTTTACTCTTTAGGCCCGCGAAAGGATATCCTCTAGCCGTTTGTCTAGACCCAAAGCTAAGGCAGATAATATTAAACGTTGGCCCTGATGCCTGAGTCCGAAGTAGGTTCATGACAGACATGGTCGTCTTACAGAACTGGACGTTCTCATGGTCTAGGTTCTGGTTTGTAACCTGCTGATTCGTTAAATTTGTACGAGCTCAATGGACCGGTTGATGATGGCAGCGTAACTTTCCTCTGTAAATTTTCACGTTTGTCTCTGAAAGACTTGAGAGGCTTCGATTAATAGAACGTTGGGAAAAATTCCAGAATAACTGCAAATAATATCACCTCGACTTATAACGCGTAGGTCATTGGGCAGTTAACATTCTGAGGGGTAAAGTTCACCTTCTAAAATGTAAAGTTTGCCGTAAACTAACAAAGTCTGCACACGTTGGTGAACGATGGCCCATGTGGGGGGGGGGGGGGGGGGGGGGGGTCGCTACACATTTTTACACCATACATTTTTTTTAAAGGTAAAAGTGTGGCGTAATTACATAGTATAAAATAGCCTTAAAAGTGTAAAAAAGTGATAATGTTTTCCACCAAAGGTATGCTTTACCTTTGGAAATATACTATGTGAAGACTGATTGGAAAATGATAGGGGAAAAAAAGATTTTTTAGAAGATAATTTGGTTAAAAGTGTAATTAAAAGTGTAAAATAGTGTAAAATAGTGTAAAATAGTGTAAAATAGTGTAAAATAGTGTAAAATAGTGTAAAAAAGTGAACCTTTTTTATTACACCATACACAAAAAAAGGCAACAGTGTAGTTTAAAATAGTGTAAAAAAGTGTAGCGACCGCCCCCCCCCCCCGCCCCATGTAGGTCTCACGGATGTTTAGCCGGCCCACAATTTTTGTATACCAAAAGCTATAGCTGTCCGGGATGTGTACTGATAGTGATATTGATACATGTTACGTTTCACAAATATCGGAGATAGTGATATTAATAGACACATTTTTGTTAATTCTTTTGATAGACAATGTATTAACTGATATATATATGTTCTCAAAAACATACCCTATGGTGTGGCGAGGCGAGTGAGGCAGAACAATAGTGAAGACACTAATTTCTTAGAGCAAAGGGAGGTATATACTGGTTACCTTGTAGCCCGTGGTTACCATTCTAGTATTGTAGACGATGCTTTCAACAAATTTAGTGATATAACAAATAGGAAAAACTTGTATGCCCCTAAAAATAAGGATGAGACGACTACTTGTCTAATACCCATGGTGATGGATCAGAATCCAGCACTTCCCAACATGGGGAGCATTATTCACAAGTATAAGCACCTTCTTAATCTCGATCCAGCCTTGAAGAAGCTAGTACGTGCTGACAGTGTATTTGTAAGTCACCGAAAGAATCAAACTATCGGTGGCATGCTTGTACACAATAAGTATCGTGCTAGTGGAACTGTAAGCAGTGATAGAGATGGAGAAGCCACTGCTAGTCAATTTCTTGAACCAGACGCTGCAATATTGCCGGCTGTTCGGGAGGCTGACAACGCAGGGTGCCATGCCTGTGGAAAATGCTATATTTGTAAGCAAAGTTTCCTGTCCCCTTGTTCCAAATTTAGTAGTCACCATTCTAAACAAGTTTTCCCTATTACTAAATATATAACTTGTCAGAGTAATAACCTTATTTATTTAATGGAGTGTAGAACTTGTAAACAGTCGTATGTAGGATATACTACTTCTAATCTCCCTAAGAGATTTTCTAATCATAAGAGCCACATTAAGAAAGGTATCAGAAGTTGTAAGTTAGTAAATCACTTTTTAGATATTGATCATGATTTAGATTTTAGTTCAGTAGCCTTATAATTATATAACTCTTCACTTAGTACGCACCTTTCTGTTATTATAGTGGACGCTCTTGAATTTAAACCTGAAATAAGTCAAGCAGATAGGGAAAAGGCCATGGAAGCTAGAGAGGGGTTCTACCAGACCCAATTGAAAACCCTTGAGCGTTATGGGGGTATGAACACCCTCGATAGTAACCACATCCTTTTTAAATCCGCTGGAGCTTAGTGTTTAGTTTATTTATTTTATTTGACATGATCTCAGCCTAATAACCCGTGTTTAGTTTACAATATTGCTATCAGAGACGTGTTATATTCATTACTATTTATATATTTTTACTGCTTGATTCAGAGAAATCTAGCTTTTTCCGAGAAACTAATCTTTAATAGATTAGATAAAATGTACGCAGCCATTCTTTTCGTTTGATTATTACTCAGTATATTTTAGTTTTGTACCGTTTTAAGTCACATAGTTTTGTACGTCTTCCTAAGACTTGTTTTCCTTTCCTAGTTTGTAAGTTATTTTAAAGATTTGTGAATATTCCAGTTGCTTTTAGAACAATTTTATCTCAGATAACGATGTTTAATAAAATGTTGCAAAGACTTATTTCGAAGATCTAATCAACACCGACTTTTAATGTGTAGGAGTACTCAGTACAGCTACAAAATATATATATATATATGATGACTATGACTATGAGAGCTTAATTGTTATGTTTTGTTAAATTTTCGTGAAGAGGCGATCATTTTGATTAATAAAACAGTTTTACTTTTACTTGAATCAGTGTTTAAAGAACCTGACAAATTTTGCATACTCTGACTAGCGACTCAATACATGTAAAACACTCTATATTATGGAATAGCAAAGCAAGACCGTGCTTGAAGCCATGCTGGAGGGGCTTGTCACCTTTGATGTGAAACAGCAGATAGTCATAGTGTACGCTCATGTTTTAAAATGTTTGTTTTCAAACTTTAAAACATATTGGGGATGAAGTAAACTGGCTTCCAAATGTTGAAAGCATGAAATATCTGGTTCGGGGGTCCCGGGTCTTCTTAGAGTTAGTATTTTGGCTACGTTCCAACCGGAGTGGTATGTATTGTGTACACTCAAGATCTTAGAGTTAGACCATCGACAGAACCATAAGCGAAATAGTTTCTGGTTACACTATACTATAATATACATGTGACCACACTGGACACCATGTATGAGCTTATGAAAAGTGATAGTGATACTTTAAGTGTTGAGTAGCTCTCCGAAATTAATCCTCGGATAGAGTTGTTTTCAAATAAAAGTAGTTCAAGTTGTTAAATATTCTACCATACCCGGTTTAAAAGTACAACAATCAAAACCCTCTGATATACAATCATTAGCAAGCATTTAAAAGGAGTTCCTTCGCTCTTCGCCAAATTTCCTGACATCAGTTTATTGTTAACAATTACCACTGCACCGGTACACTCACCACATGAATCAACGGGGCTATCATCATTTCGTGTACAACTACATTGCTAGTCTCCTATCATTTTACTGCTATTGCATCAGCACATAATATTGTACCACTGCTCTCGTCCTCTCTTTACTAATACGTCTTTGTATATCAGTATTTATATTTGATGTCTAGTGGTTACAGACCCCTTAATCAGGAGTCTGACGACCATGACTTGTTAGGTGATATCCTGAAAGAGTCGACTAGTGTCTTTAACTTTGATCCTGCTTCTTATTTTGACGACTGGTTCGATGAGCCGGCCACTGCCAGTGCTGTGAATGTAGTGGAGTCCAGCTCTTGTGATGAGGAAGCAAAACAGGGCCCCTCGTATCCTAGAAATGGTGGTAAACTAGTCGAGTTTCAGTCTCAAGATGTGGTTATGGGAGAGTTTCAGTCTCAAGATGTGGTTATGGGAGAGAAAGAAGAAATTCCCGAGTACACAAAACCTACCAAAGTTCATTCCACAGACTCCGAAGATAGTGGCAAAAGAAAAGAAAAGAAGAAAAGGCCCCCTCCCATGTACTCCGAAAACCCGCCGTTTCCTGTTCCGTACGGTGACGAGAGTCTGGGCTACAGAGACAGTGCTCCTTATCGCGGCGGGGCGTTGCCCTATGAAGACGAAGGGGACGATTTGTCGTACGATCACTACGAACTGGTCCAGGCTGGTGTGGAACCATCAACCTTCTCTCCCAAACGGTTCCCTAGACAGGTTGACCTGGCGGACTCTGGAGTAGTCATGGACATCATGGAAACTTCACCGTACATGACAAAAATGAGCCACGAGAAGTATATAGACGATAGTAGTACAAGTATGAGCAAACAGAGTTTCGACATTGCCATGTCGGACGATGATACGGCGAAGAAAGCCCGGTGGTGTTTGGTATGCTTGAAAACTTACTGTGTTATCTTCATGTTGACTATAATATCTTTGAGCATCTATGTGGCGGCAGATTTGGGTGATTTTACGACAGATGCGAAGGTAGCCAAGAAAGAGGCGGAGGAAGCACAAACGAGGGGTTATAAAGAGTTACGACTGGGAGGGAGGCGGGTTTTTTATAGGATCAAGGAATCAGAGGGCATGGCTAACCATACCGTTCTTCTCATCCATAGCGAGAATTCAAGTGGTAAGAACTCTTTAGTTATCAGTGATAAAAAGCTTTCTTTAAAATTGACTTAGAGTTAGATTGCTGAAATCTTTAAGTGTACGATTGTTCAGATCATGTACAATATTTGTACAATCCCAGGCGAAATGTTCAACAAGTTGGGAACATTGGACTTCCTTAGTGCCCACGGAGCTAGAGCTGTTGCTATAGACATGATAGGATATGGTAAGAGTGATCCGCCAATCCATATCCCGGAAACTTATGAAGGATTCTTCACTGAGGTTCGGTTCTTTATATATAGCCTTTATATATATAACTTTGGAGAAGTTTTTGTTTTGTTCATGGTTCAATTCAAACATGGTGAGATTACATTTATATTAAGAAACTTATTTCGAACATACAAAACATAAAATCGAAACGTCATTAATACAGCTGAACGAGGTAAGTATCCACAGATTTGCTAGCTAAATTCACTAAAATTTGTCCCCTGTAGATAGTATCCCTGTTCGAGCTGGAATACAACCTGATCCTGGTTTGTGTGGAAACAGGATGTGAGAAACTTCTCCCATACTATCTCCACCACGGGGTGTACCGACAAGACAACAGTTTTATAGAGGGCGCAGTGTTCATCTCCCCACGAGGCACTACCTACAGTAACTTTGTAGAGCCTGCCAAGTCTCACATGAATACCGCTACTAGGACTGTTGTGGTGAGCGGAGCTAAGGATCAGTTTGTTAATATGGAGGTTAACCAGCAGCTTGATCTTATTCCTCGGTGCGAGGTAAGAGGCATCGGTTATTTATATTTTCCTATTTTTAGCACCTCGTATAACTCATTCAAGGCCTGTGATGAATTAAGGTCAATGGTCATGATTGTTGTAAACATTTATTTTCTTATAATTGAAATAAACCTAACTATTGTACAAATATTGTAATCGTTGCTATCATGTACGAGTTTATAAGTTGATATTTACAGATACACGCACTGCCAGACTTGAAGAACAACTTCTACTCTAACAAACACAGTAAGCTCTACTTCCACGCTGCATTACAAGCGTTTATGGAAGGACTGGCATATGAGTACGACAGAGAATTACAAGAGATTAGCCAGCATGAACAAAGCAATGAAGAAGGAAGCGGGACTAATCCTAATCTTGGAAATATGAATAATCAGTACGGGTACAATAATCAGAATCAGCCACAGTACCAAGTACCCCGACCACAGGGCGGGGATGCTTTCAGCAGGTTCCAGGCTAAACAGAACCCTGAGGAGTCCACATTTCAAGACTTGGGATATAACCCTGCTCATAGATTCTCTAGAATAAAGGGAGAAAAGTGATCTAATTTCGGCATTTTCATAAAATGTTTAGAGCGAACGGAATCAGGCCGATGGGCTCCACTGCAAGATTGCTTCTAACTTCTTGTCCCTCGAACAGTATTACAATTTCGTTTCTTGGAGGGCTGGAACTGTTGATATCTTATCAACGATGAATAATAATATGAATTGACAACCGATCCGCTGACAGTATGATATTTATAGAATTAAATATTATAGAATATATTTATAGAATTAAAGCATCGTGATATTCAGCATGAGTCTTATCATGCTTATTGTATTTAACAACTGTTTTAATAATACTAACCGCTTTTTTAGCCACTAACCGACATTTCGCCATCAAGCTTTGATGATTAATTACTTTTTAATTCACAGTTTCAGAGAACTGCAGTGGTTTTGATGTGCACGAATTTTAATATTTGTTGAACAATTTTATTTGATATTTGTGAATTGCGATGCAAGTTTGGCGTAATAATATGCTTGTCAATTGTCAAATATAGTATGCAAATCGAATAATCAAGTTTGCCAATCTCAATATTGTGGACAAGTATTTTTAAAATATCATTTATGATAAAATGAAAACGCAAAAAAGAATCAAGCATTAGTTTTAAGTTCATCAAGTGCACGACAGTAGCTAATAATCAATTATTAGCATTATCATCCACCATGACAAATCATATAAGTATTAATTGTAACAAAAGTTATAACAGTTCGGAGCTTCAACGGTTCTTAGTGTATCAATAACGTGTGACCTGTCTTCAATCGAGATGTTTTTTTTTGTGACGCGAAACTTAAACTAAAATATCTATACTTAACTATGTATAAACTGTAAGTGTACAACTACATAAACAATCACAATCTGCCTGGGTGAGACTGTCTGGTGATAGAGTCTACGAAGGTTATCTTACTGTTTAACGGCCCAGGTGAAACTTGAGTATCATCAAACTCCATACACTGAATCATCTCATTAAAGGAAACACTTCTGTCTATACCCTTACGATAGCTCATCTTATCACTCCACCCTAAACAGATATAGAAAGTGTGCCAGCACCCCTCCTGGACACAGTAAGAGATAACGGTGGACCAGGCTGTACTGAACAGAGTTAGAAAGTAGACCGAGAAGACGGTTCTCTCACCGAGGACCAGAGGCAGGTACAGCACACAGCATACTATAGTTAGGTAAAATGTCAGACTGTCGTAGAGGCCCTCGTTTGAGCTGAGATCTACCAACTTCTTTCTGTTTTCTTCCCGAGCGGTTCTGTCACGTGTTGTCTCTTCGAAGGACCATGACCTTGTTGGTCGTCTGAGGGGTGATGCTTTGAACGAAGGTCGTGGTATCATGGCCTTTTCTGCTGATGTTTCTGCCTTTTTATTGTTGATTAATTTGGTCATGAGGTGTTGTTTGACACTGGTGACGTGTTCTAGTCTCTGGAGGACACTGGAGTGGTGGAAAGTGATGATGTAGTGGAGGGAAAGGTGGGTAAAGTGGTAAAGTACCGGCCACACTGGATTGTCAGGGTTGAAGTAGAGTTGGCAGAGTAAGGTAAGAAGGTCCAGAGTAAGGAACAGTGTTGTACTCAGCATCTTTTTCTTCGAGAAATTATCTGTGTGTTTATATATCAGTTAAAGTAGAACTTTTTTAGTGCAATCTAAACCTCCTTTCACGACAAGAAATCGAAAAAATATTCAGGAATTTTGGCTTCAAGAATGAAACATTAATCTTATAAAAAAGAAACTTTAAAGTTTGACTAACCCTCCACAAGCCTCTGTGTAAGTGAGCTGGTTAAGACTCTGGTTTGGACAACTGTAATAGAAGCTGAAACCAATCCTGTGATGTAAAGTCCCGTGTTCCAGTTGCAGTGAAGCTTGTGGTACGAGGAGGTCAGGTTGCTGATCACTGCTAGCAGTCCAAATCCAATGCAAAAAAACAGGTCTGAATAAAACATCTGAAATTGTGTTGGTTTTTATTTACATGATTACTCTATGTAAAATCCGGATTGGAATATTGTTTATGAGTCGCAATGTCGCATGGTTACACAAGAATACATGATTACTCTAGTTGTAGGAATACTCTAATTTCATATCAGATTTAAATATCGACACCAAATCCCATCGACAAGAAAGTTTAAAATAATTATTTGATTATAACGCTACCCGAATGACTAGAAGAGGGGTGGCATGCATTCTCTTCGACTTGGACTTCCTGATAAGAACTGATACATTGCTGCCGAGAGCAATACATATCGACAATTCTGTTAAAAACTCCAAGATTGCCAGGTTCTCAGAAACAAAGGTGTTTTGCATCTTTACATGTCTGAGATTTGATTGATGTCGTGAGATAGTAGTAAACAATTATCGATTAAAGCGGCACGAATGTTGATTTAACATGAATGTATGCAACTTACCATTTCACAGGGAAGTTGTAATTACATATTATGAAAATATTTGATAAAGCAAACAGTATGATCAGTCCTTTTGGTGATCTACATTCTACATATTATCTGGGTTTTAAATACAACTCGACTGAAGGTTGGTCTGTGCAAACTGCAAGGAACCTCCAGCTTCAATTCATTGTTCATTGCTCAGGTAAGTGTGCCGATACAACAAGGATATCCTCTGTACCAACACAATAGGGAACAATACGAATTACGATAACACAATATCTTGCTAAAATTAAACATATACACTCGACAATGATCTGATAACAGAATATACGCAACACCATCTCACAAATAAAATAGAGAGCAACATCAAACACCGAACAACGTGGTCTTTAGACTGGCATTACACTTACAGGAGGGCATTATCCTGGTCAACTTGTAGACGTGCTGCGAGATAATGGAATAAACACGAACTTCATCATTATTAAAATTATCAAATTCAAAACTGTTAAAGTAGCAAAGCCAAAATAATTAAACTGACTGCTTTTACATTTTCTGCATGCACATTGCACCGTGGAGTTAAGTAGCCAATTGTCCAAAATAAAAATTGTATTAATCTAGGGTACAAGTAATTATGCACTATGCAGCTAACGTAAATAATTATACAGCTAAATTAGGTAATTATACTTCATTAAGGCTTTACTGTGACTAACTAGGAATTTTGTTAATTTAAAGAAAATTAATTTTACATTTTGCTTTGCAACTTTCGAAATTTCGTACTCATCACTGAAGCTTCAGTAAGAATTCTACAATTTAAAATTAAATCGTCCTACCCACGACCTATCATTAATATCAAGAGGTTCCTTAGGTCTTGTTGTGGTGGACAGGGAATATAAATTCGGGTTGAAGTTGAGGTCATGGTTTATACGTCTAGGGCTAAACATTAGTTGTATGAGGTCTTTGGGGGTAAGACGACGGTAAATTTTAGATACATCTTGTAAAAGAAGGTTCAAAGAACTAAGTTAGTAAAACGTTGTGTAAAAGTAGTGATAGTAAACTATTAAACCTTTTAATTGAATTTGCTGCAGGGAAGGAGCGATTCCCATCGGTTATTTCGATTAATAATAATCGACTCAAAATGGTAACCATTAACCAGGTCACATCCCGACATACCGTGCATGCAGAGAGAGCAGACTAATATCAATTGCTTGCACATCCATTATCTTGACAGCTTCTGAGATATAGTTTTAATAGGAAGCTCAAATAAGGCGTCGAATAATTAAAATGATTGCCATCACTAGATCAAGTTTGTATTTATTTATAAATACAAAAAATACAAAATCGTTTATAGTACATTATCGTTTATAAATACAAAATTGTTTATAAATGATTTAAGCAATGTCATGAAATTCAACTAATTCTGCAGTTAATGTGACAAGGCAAGTATAAAGACTAAGATGGTAACTTTTATCACAGTGGTCATGAAGAGCTTTGCTATTATATCTGATGGTCACATGACATGTAAAGTCCTTTCATCTCCCTATGAATCATGTCAATAAGTGATTTTATCGCACCTATACCACTCTCAAATCAATCTCATTATCGATCAATACTTTGGTTATATGGTAGTAAATTCATGATATTATATTCCTATCAAAAATCAATAAATTAAATGATCAGTGAAGGGATCAGCTGTAAAACGTTTATATACTTATACTACACAGACTGTGTAGTATAAGTATACAAAGGTTCGACCGGGACCCCTTTTTCGGCCGGCACCGGGACTGGAAAAAAGTGCCAGGACCAGGATTAAGCCGGGACCGGGAATAAGACCGGGATTAGGACCGGGATCATAGCTAGGAAAAATTATACTTTCAATATTCTTTGATCTTGTAATGTATAATGGCGTTAGGTGCAGTATTTATCAATATTATAATGATTTTGGACACGAAGGGAAACACACAACGTAAGGCTTGAAATCTTCGTAAAACTGCATCATTAGAGCCTGTAAAAACATTTAACTTTAAGATAAGCACTCTATCAAGTAAAATTCATATAATCATCATAGTTTATTAACTCGAACGTAAAAATTGTAACAAAGGCAGAATTTAATCAGTCAAAATTCGTAGCATGTAAGTAATTATGGATGGGGTACAACTACAAGTTCAACTCCACTCGGAAACTTATAGTATAGTATGAAACAAGCTAAACACTTTAGTAAAGCTGATAAGCAGTGACTAGAACTAATTATCAAACAAAAATGCTCTAATCGGTCTTATAACTGCTCACTGTGCCCCATTTAATTACTGAAAATTGATAACGCAGAAATCTCGTTAAAGTAGTGACGATAACACTAAAAGCAAGATATTATCTCTTCTACATACCAGCTTTATTTGTAAACACGACCAAATGTATCAAATGATCCAGGTTGTAAGTATAAATTACACAATTGTTAACATGCACTGTGTGAGATGAATAAAGAAATCTAAAATTGAAAAATTACCGTTTTATCTCCATTATATTATAAGTCCCCAAACGTTAGTGTAGCTCACGTTTATATACTTATACCACTCTGTATATAGTTTGGGTACGGCACAAATCACCACCAGAACAGTTATATGAGCGGGGATATGATTGTATTGGACAAAGAAGACTTATAAAATATATTATGCTGTTAGAGTTTCACGAGAACAACTGCAGATTAAAAACAATATTGTATGTGTAATCATTGTTAACTCACAAAGAAGAGTCTTACTCTTAGGTTAACATTATGTCAAACTTGCAACCTAACCTAACCTAACCTCATCAAAAGTTAGATTTCACTGATCATTCACTAGAAATAGTAAATTATGAGCATATAAGTCACATACTCAAATCATTTTAAAGAGAACATATAAACGGTACGACGCATATCATGCTGGTCCTAAATTAAAGTAGGCAGCAATCAAGAATCATCCAATCAGCCACGTCAAAGAGTCACGTATGTATCTATATTCATCACACACACTATCAAGTTTCAATAAACTAAATTGTCTCTAGTCCAGGTTATATTACGAGTTTCGATTACTATAGCGCAGGTTTCAGGACACGTTAAAATGAACTGATTAACTAAACAGAAGCTGAGTCGTGACAATTCCTAACTGTGTTGGGTTACGAATGATCAAATCTGTCCCAAAATATCTACAATTATCATTCGGAGTAGTATGTGCTGACATCGACCAAAAGCGCAAAGTGGATTGTGTAATAATATATTATATGTCTTTGTAATGTGCCAAAAATAATATTCAGACACAAACTGTCAGAATTCATAGGTGATCGCTGGGGTTTTTATTTAGATAAGTACCCAGAGCTGATTATAGTTTTAGGAGTTGCTAAATCACGCAGCAGATGGATAAGTGAGAAGCAGTCAACTGTTCACTGCGAGTACTTATCTTCAAGTCATGGTAATAAGAGAAATCTTGAAGCCCAGATATAATACTGAAACTATACGAGTGCTGGGAGAGGAATAGCAGTACTGTTCCCATATGAGGAAGGCAAGTTCGGGCTAAATTAATCGATAATTTTTGACAAAACGAGCACATATAGCTCAGTTGCAATGTTAATGTATGATTGTACGTAACCTCTCAACCGCTGACTGCTCCTACTTAACGTGCGTCGTGCAGCATGTACTTTGCACTGCATAATTATAAACTATTCAAGTGCCTTAGAGAAGGCAGGTACGTCTCCGCATCCCAAATCTTGTACCGTAGTTCGTAGTTGGTATCGCATAACACGGAATAACGATGGCGAATAATGCTCAAAGCCATGTTCGTTAGTTCGTATCACTTATATGTTTCAAGAACCCCTCTTCAGTACCAAGTCCTGTGCCAAAGTTACCAGTTACTGAACTAGAAGATCGACCTTTCTGGTGAAAGTGCGACATACGGGCGGTGCTTATCTGAACACTAAAGCAACATATAATAGCCAACAAGGCTAATCAATTATCCAAATCTACTACATATATGCTATAGCTTATCAAAATGAGGCCTTTTAAATGGCCGTTAATTATTATAGGCAGCGTGTATTTATAGGCCTGCCGAGGAGAATACATATGACCTACTCTGATCGATAATTTATGCAGTAAACCATATACCATTTTTTTATCTAGACACTTATTTTACTTCGGTGTATTCCAACAGCCACAATGTTACACAAGTGCAACCAGCCAATTACAGGAAGCCGAAGTAACATAATACAACATAGTAGTAGTAAATCTTTCAAAGTACGAAATATCTCTTTAAAAGAGCATCCTAGGCACCTTATAGATATCAAAACGCATAAAAAAGAAAACAAAAACATCAACCATCTTCTAACTTCTTCCATTCCTCCCTATCTAAAGCCAAAAATCTAAGGTCTTCGAAATCAGTCAAATTCTTAAGTCTAATATCAAGATTTCTACTAGTCAAGTCTTTTCTAATAACATCTAATAAGTTTAAACATGGTCTACCCCGTCTCCCTTCCATAAAAATATCAGAATTTATAGCAAATAACATAGAGGTGTA